ATTCTCTTAATGAATAGAATGATTTGTTCTAATGGTGTTTGTAAATAGGATCTCAAGTCCGCAACTTGTACAGCAATTAACCACTAAGAAGAATACAGGCAGTGTGTTATCTGTTGAAACTGTACTTCCGATTTGATTTGAAACTGTCTCATTGCTATTTGTGTATCAATAAAATTTTTAAAAAAAGGAAAAAAAAAGAAGTGATAATAAACCTCAGATCTGTATTAAGTCTCATCATCCTGTATACATTTCCTAGAAAATAATTTTGGAAATGTCAAGACTAGTTACAAAGATTATGTATTAGAGGAGCTATTTTCTTATCATGTGAATGATGCCATTTAAAGATGATGATCCTAGTAGTGGAGGGGAAGAAGACTGTAGTGGTTCTGTAAGGGGTTCTGGGCACGTCAGATTTACTGGCATCAGTTTTTTATCTCAGTACTTATGTAGCTTTATTTACCTTGCAGTAGTTTGGTACTTCACCACTGAAGAAGTTTGAGATCTGTGGGGGATCTTTTTAAAGAGGTTTTCCCTGTCATAGCTAGAGGAGTAAGTTAGACAAAAATGTAACAGAAGTTGCCATGGCTGGCAAGTGTACTTTAACAAATTTTATATATCCATTATCTGAAGCAATGATTATATAATGACTCAAATCTATTAGACCTTATTCTTTCATGTGAGGTAGCAGGTAATCAGCACAAGGATGTCGTGAAGCTGAGACATTGCTTCTCCCATTTTTAGGTTTTTATTTTGGGGGAGGGGTTTGGTACCAGGAATCGAACTCAAGACGTTGTGCTTGCCATGCAGGCATTTATGCTCTGTGCTATCTCCCTAGTCCTGTCATGCCCATTTGCAGGCAGAACTGTTTTGCTTTGTTGAGACAGGGTCTTTCTGTGTAGTCCAGGCTGGCTGGAACTCACTATGCCCCCCAAGCCAACCTCAAACTGGTAGGGATCTTTCTGCTTCATCCTCTGTGGTACTGGGAAGCCAGGGATCCACCACCAGGCCCAACGCAGGTAGGATTTGGAGAAATGGAGGAGTCTGCTCCAACCTGTACATCTGTGAGGCAGGGAGGTATGGATTCATAATGTGAAGACCATTTCTAACCTTTTCATAAGCAGTTTTGGTGTGAAATTCTTCTGGGATTACTCATAGTCTTCTTTCATCCTGGGGTTTACCAATTGTAGTTACATTTACCTTTTTATTCCACCAACTGCATATAATTCAAGGTCAGCCTGCATTAAAGTGGAATTGATTTTTAGCTAGGATGAGTTATCAAGTCATAAACTTTAAAGGCCCTTTTGTTCTTATTGTTGTTGTTTTGAGTCAGGGTCTCTCTCTGTAGTTCAGACAGATCTTTTGTGTGTGTGTGTGTGTGTGTGTGTGTGTGTATTTTAGGGGAGGGTCTACATGGTGTTCAGGATCTCACTAGTGGATTGGACTCACAGTAATCTGTTTATAGCCTCCGAAGAGCTAGAATTATAGGCACATGTCACCATGCCCAGTCCATAAACATTAGATGAATTCATCTTTTTCTAGTCATTTGAAGATGTTAATAAAATGTTTGTCTACAAACTGGCCCCAAAATAAGACCTGAGGGATTCCATGTAGGAAGCTAAGGCAGGCCTAGCCCAGTTGAGTAAGGCAGGGGATAAGAAGACCTAATGACTTCTCTGTTGTCTCTCAGTCTGCCCCAGGCAAAGTCAAAGAAGCTGTGAAGGCAGCCATTGATGCAGGGTATCGTCACTTTGACTGTGCCTTTGCCTATCAAAATGAGAATGAGGTGGGCGAAGCCATCCAAGAGAAGATCCAAGAGAAGGTTGTGAAGCGGGAGGACCTCTTCATTGTTAGCAAGGTAACAGTGCAGCGCTGATAGGGGAGGCCTTCACGTGTTCTGTACCTCCTTAGCATTTCCCTTAGGTCCCCATTTCACTCTCTCTATATTTGTTACATCAGAATATAGACATTTATACACTGAACTCTTTTTGATATGTGCAAGAAGTTATGGCTGTTCAACCTTCCCAGCAGTTGGTTTCCCTTAGTGCGGCTGGCCCCTTTGAAATTTTTTTTTTTTTTTTTTCGGGAACCAGGGATTGAACTCAGGCCCTTGCGCTTGCCAAGGAAGCACTTATTCCACTGAGCCACCTCCCAACCCGCCCCCCCCCATTGAACTTCTGAAACCTGGGCCTGGCCCTTTCCTGTCAGAGTGATCCATTCACCTAGGGGAGTCAGAGGTTAGAGTCAGGAATGGGTCTGTAGACCACCTTTCTGCATTGTGTTCTCAGCCATCTTGGCCCTGAGGGGACAGCCAAAGTGTTTTTTTGCAGAAGTGGTAAAAGTATTTTTTAATTATTAAAAAAATTTAAAATTTGTGTGCAGTAAAACAAATCTAATGTTTGAAGTGCTAAAATAAAAGGGAAGGAATGTTGTGTGTGATGTGCTTGAAAGTCACTGGATCTGAGTGGTACAAAACTATACCAAAAAATACTACTTCTATGTTCTTAGGAAACGCACCCTTGTGGGAACAATAGGCCCACTGTGTGCAGGAGAAATATATGGATAAACTCCTTAGAATGTTATTACTGGGACCTGGTAGGCTTGGGCAACGGGAGTGCAGAACAGGGCCATGATGCCAATGGTAGAAGAAAGCTTAACATTTGGAAGCTCCATATAATACCTGCCCTCAGAGGCCAGCAGCCAACAAAGGGAATAGCTGAGGTTCCCAAAGGTTTAGGCAGCGGCCACAGGTGCTAAAGGATTTAAGGGACACACAGAATGCTAAGAGCAATGAACAAAGAATTGCCCTCAACTGAGAAAAGTCATTGTCATGCTCAGCCTTCGTGGCTGCACACTGAAACATGCACACTAATCAACTTGGCTATAAAGGGCCCAGTAATGGAATGAGAATGAGGTGAGATCAACCTGCCATTCTGAAAGCAGGTGGCAAGAGTAGAGTGTGGCCTTTCTCACTCCCATCCTAATGTCTCTTTGCTGCACTCTGCAGTTGTGGCCCACATACTTTGAGAAAAGCCTCGTGAAGGAGGGCTGCAGGAAGACTCTGAAGGACCTGAAACTGGACTACCTGGACATCTACCTCATTCACTGGCCACAGGCATTTCAGGTTTGAGTTTCTCTCTGCCCCAACCTGAAGATGCTGAGTAGACAGAAGGCAGAAATGAAAGCTGCAGTAGCCCTGAGTATGCCCATAGGTCACACAGGAACTCTTGTGTGGCCTAGCAGGCACACTGGGCCACCTGTACTCTCTGACATGGCTACAAACTGTGATTTTTGGCAGTACAGACAAACTGGCACTGCTGGGTGAACTTTGTCTTGAGTTTGAGGAGAAGTCCTGGTATACTCTTGCATAGCAGTGGTTCAGGGCTCCATACTCCGATTAGCCAGAGCATACCTGGGCTGACCTCTTGGAGAGAAACACTAATGTGGTCTTGCTGAACGTCTCCACTGAGCTGGCCGTATAGCTCAGCAGACTTAAGCACCTGCTTAGGCAGGTGCAAGGACCTGAGTTCAATTTCCTGCACCACATGTAGTGTCAGCCCTGCCCCTGAGGTGCACTGAGTTGGCAACTGAGACTGGGCTTGCTGGTGCTTGCCAGTAATCCCAGCGCTTGGGAGGCTGAAAACAGGAGGATCACTACAAGTCTGATCTGTGTAGTGAGACCCTGTAGACCTTGTACTAAAAAAGAAAAAGAAAAGTTCCATTCCTCAATAAAAACAAAGAACTCAGAGCTGAAGAGTGCTCAGCAGAGCTCCTGATAGCCATAGAGTAATAAGGTTAATGATGATAATGAAGTCTTGGAGAATACACTGTGAATGAACTTTAAAATCAATACAGAAGTTTCTAAAATATAAGAACTTCCATAGCAATGAATATTGATTTAGAAATTTTACTGAAACTTACTGTCTTGGAGTTTGTTCTTCAGAGCTTGATAAAATCATTGTACTTGTAAGTAATTAGCATGAGTCATGATCCCAAAAGCTTGTTTAGCCAGACAACATGCAGGTAACAATAAGCTTTGTTCTGTGTTTACAGCCAGGAAAAAGTTTATTCCCCCAAGACGATAAAGGCAACATGATCCCCGGTAAAACATCATTCTTGGATACCTGGGAGGTAGGTTCCAGCTTTTTCTAAATATGCTGTAAAAGAGTTGTTCCTTCACTTACCCTGGAGACTCCCCTTCACTTGTTCTGTTTGCTTCCTCATGATCCATGAGTTTGGGATTCACCTGACTCGCCTTACATCTGAAAGCTAAGACTGAGCCCTCAAATGCCATTGCAGCCCAACACATCAATTTGCGGTACACATGTAGTGACTCAAAGATGTGGGAGGGTGTTTAGAATTCTTTGGCCTCATCTTGTGAGTACTCATTGGGTTATCTAAGATAATTATTTTAAATGTCAAGTCTCTGTTTCTTCATTTGAAAAGTATTTTCTAATATATTCATTGTAATTTAAAAGTACAGTGAATGATTTTTTAAAATGTGTTTGATACAGGGTCTACAGGGTCTCACTGCATATATCGGATTTGTAGTGATTCTCCTGTTTTCAGCCTCCCAAGCACTGGGATTACAGACTGGCGCCACCCCACCCAGTCTCGGTTGCCATCTCAGTGTGCCCTGGGGGTGGGGACAGCCTGGCATGCTTGAGATTGAACCAGGCCACTGTATTGTGCCTAATCAGGTGCTTTAGTCCACTGAGCTAACTGGCCAACCCCTGTACAGTGAATGCTTAAATTACAATTTTATTTCAGGCAAAGATACATTGGCAATAACTTGCCACAAAAACCCTCCCTTTGTCTTAGACATACTTATTCCATCTTTCTCGGCAGTTTCTGAACTAATCCTGGAAGTGTTTCATGAGTGTCTACAAGAGTTGTGATCATGTATATCACCCGTGCTGCTCAGTGGCGTCATATGGGAAGGCAGGCTCAGAAAAAGGTTACGGGGCTGGGGAGATGGCTTGGCAATCTAAGAGGTCACCTGATAAGCACAAGGACCCAGATTTGATCCTGTTACCATGTGCCACGCTGGCCCTTGAACCCTGGGCATGCTATGCCAGCCACTGAAAGCTGGTGTAGTGGCGCACCCTGTAATCTCAGTGCTTGGGAGGCTGTGAGACAGGAGGATCACTATGAGTT